ATGTTCCATTCTCGTATCTCGGAGAACGTAAACCTGTCTCAGTTTTCAAACGAAGATATATGACTGTCGTTACGTTAATTGAGTAACGCTAGCCAATACGTTAATTCAAGGAAAATCGATATGGGAAGGTATGTATGGAAGGCGATTTTTAAACTAGAAATCTGATATGTATTTGTATATACCTATGGGATATTTATGCTGGATACACGTGAAAGGTTACGCTTTTTAATCACTGCCAGTGCATGTGGAAGTGCACTAGTAAACTGCAACCCTTTCAGCAATTATGACATCAGTCATAAGAAACTGTCATGAGACTTTTAATAACTACATATTGTAAAACTGTGTATTAGTGTCCGTAATAAATAATAACAGCTATTTCATAATACAGAAATAGAATCTAATTCTTCATATTTAGCAGTCGCACTTAAGTTACTGATTTCATCGATGTTATCAATGATCACTAATCCAACAATACTAGCAATCTAACCAGTGTATGCATAAAAAAGTCATCAATTTTAATTTAAATCGTGTATAAAACCGCAATAACGTAACCTTCGCCTGGAGGCTTTAACTCAACAAACAGCTATCAAAGACGAGTATTGTTTCCAATATGGCCGCCAGCAGATTTTCAAAAAGCGAACACATTTCTTTTTTTGTTTTTGCGTGCTCTAATGAGAATCAGTGGTTTTTTGTTTGTTAGTGTTCCTATAAGGATTGTATTTGAGGCATTTATGAGAGTATAAATAGACGTATGTTCGATATACCTAACTACTTTTTTACTAATATTCATTTACTATCTTTATTAATATTCATTTACTATCTTTAAAGGGATTTAGTTTGTCTATATATATAGAAATGAAACCCGTTTCCCGTAGTCACGCCATAACTTGACAACGGCTAGACCGTTTTTTTGTTTGTTGTGTTTATTATGATTGTCAGGAGAAGGTTCTTATGACTGAAAAAGGTCCTGAAAATGCTACGGGAACGGAAGAAAACAAGATTGCGCGTACGAAGTCGCGGGCAGAAGCTAGTAGGTATTAATGTGGAATTTAATTTATTCTTGACTCTATTTGCATATAGAATAAAACCCGATTTGAAATTAAGTTCTTTACACATTGGACGCCGTGTCGGACTATGATGACCGACGCTAGCGGAGGATTAGCTTTACGTTTTGTTGGCAGCTTAAGCTTTAATATTCAATTAACTATTAAATCATTATGGCACCTAAATAAATCATCAACGACATCAACTTTAACTCATTCCACAAATTAGTATCAACATCTTTTTTTAGCAGTTGTGTATCCACTATGCTAAGGCCTCGTATCCTCCTCCTATTTTCCTCCTATTACACAATTAATACGTTAATCAGAAGCCATGGCATACTTACGACATCAATAGTAAGTTGACCTTTATATTAACGAGTTAATAGCACAATCACTGAAGTAATAGCTTTTGAGAATATCGTATAAACAATAACTACTTCGGCGTAGGTACAATCTTAACGTAATTTAACTTTAACCGCTTGAATGCACTGATGTGAGACACAATACAATGTCTTGCATGGATCCACGTTTAGACACACGATGGGTAAAACCTAATTATGTATTTTACTTTGTATTCATTTTTCCTAAAACCTAAAAATGAGATCTCACAAAGTTAAGAAATTTTAAATTTCTGACTAAACGGTTGGTGCAGTGGTTGAGCAACTGACTGTCGCGCAACGTGTCGCGGATTCGATTCCCGCACGGAACAACTCTTTGTGTGATCCACAGATTAATGTTCCGGGTCTGGGCGTAATGTGTATGTGAACTTATATGTTTGTAAACGCACCCACGATACAGGAGAAAATACTAGTGTGTGGCAACGTTAAAAAAAACTAAAAATCTATCGTAAGTAATTCATTTGTACCTATATAAATCATTACGCAAATAGCATCATCATCACCAGCCTATAAATGCCCACAGCTGAGCAAAGCCTCTTCTCACATGGAAAAGGTTTGAGCATTAATCATCACGCTTGCTCAATGCGGGTTGGCAATTTCAAACTTATAATTAGAAATTATAAGTCCAGGTTTCCCTATGATGTTTTCCTTCACGATTGGTTTTTAGTGTCTTAATAATCTTATAAAGTACATATAACTCGGAAAACTTACATTGGTAAGTACTTACTGTTACTAGGTTTCGGACCCGTACCTACTCTCATGCATGAGAAGAGAATCTTACACCTCCGGGCCACTACGACAACACGAAAATATTACATTGAGTAAATAAATTTATTATTGGACATAGACAATAAATATTATAAAAATGAATCATATTTCTTTATGTATCTGTTCTAGTCCAAATAATTTCCAATTCTCTCTCATAAATAAAGATACATAGGCACATATATTTAACATAAAAAAGACAAAAGAGCAAATACCAAGGAAACAATTGAAATTCCACAAAGTCCCGATGATGAAATTGAAATTGGAAATCTCTAGAGCTTTCGATAGAAGGCATTACAGTTTCAAAATATATTACTAACATAGTTAAACGTGCCTACATTCCTAATATCTTTATTATTACAATTCCACTCCAATATTATTTTTGTAGGTTATATTTTATATAAAAAAATTAATCATATTCGATATGAAACAAATTCAGAGCTATTCAAGCAAAAAGCGCGAGAATCGGACGGTTTGGCAGAAATATATAAAAATGTTTTTATCTTTTTTAAAAAAAAAGCGTTGCTCAATACTATGATTTTCTTTATGGGTGCCATTTCAAAAATACAAGTGACACACGTATGTACAATACACATGACACCCAGATTTGTGGATCACATAAAGAGTTGCTCCGTGCGGGAATCCAACCACATGCAGGTTGCTCGACAGCCCAGCCACCGCGCCAACCATGCAATACCTACTTTTTTTAAGATTGATTTAAGAAAGCTTATAGAAGATATTGTCAAAAAACTTCAAGTTAATATTTACTTTTGTCTTGCGATGCTTAGAACGGAAATATTTGTTCACCGTTGCTTGCCTCGTTTCTTCATTTGGTTCTTGAGAATTTTACCCCCGTAAAATTCTAATATCTAAAGAATGGGGATTGCTGATGACAGATCAATCTTATATTTGCTACAGAGTCTTAATCTTGAATGCTATACAAAATAATGTATATTTTTCCATAAAAACCTTCACATTCGGCGGACATGACTTGCCCAGTTCCATTTTCAGCTTGCGGCTTATGACCAACGTCGATGATTTTAGTCGTAGAGCACCATTAAGAATATCCCATGTAAAAGTTTTATTAGTTCAATAGAACTCATAATACGGTTAAACATAAAACGAGAAATAGCAAATAATTTATTAGCTAAACATGTCTAAATATCAAACAAAAATTTAGTCGAATAATTCAGTGAAGTACGAACGATCGACAACAGCAAATATTTGAGCTATTAAAACTAAAAATCTTAACCTATTTTAGATATGAAAATTCACAAAGTACCAATCTAAATATAGGTAACCAAGTTCTTGATAGTCAGTCATTGCTAAAGCAATTTGTAACTAAAAATAATGTCACTTAAGTAGATAGTCGATTAAAACGGTTACACTAGCTTCCCATAGGTGCCATTAACTCGGATTAATGATATAGGCTGATTAGGCTGGGAACCTGTTGACCTACTTTAGCTTTATCACGTCTTAATACAAAACGTCTCCTTGGTAATGATGGCTTATCCTTAAAGCAACAGGGGTATTTGCAAGTCAGGTTAGTGCTTGTAATGAAACTGGTGTATTAATTGTGTTAATTGAATATAATAATATATTTTACATATAAGTAAGTTATGAAAATAATAATATCAGTAGAAGTAGGGTATATAAAATCTTTTTAACCGACTTAAAAAAAAGGAGGAGGTTCTCAATTCGACCGTATATATGCTTTTTTTTATGTTTGTTCGCCGATATCTCCGTTGTTTATGAACCGATTTTAAGAATTCTTTTTTTGTTGGAAAGGAGATAGTTCCAGAATGGTCCCATGATAAGGAAATCAGGATCTGATGATGGAAGACCAGGGAAACCGAGGAGAACTTTTAAAAATTATAGGGGCGACTAGGGCATTTGGTAATTTTTTCATTAAGTATTAAAAACCACTACAATTTGATAAAAGTCTGGAGCCGAACTGATGATGGAGCCGAGAGCCAGTTGAGGGAACTCCTCAACGGTTAACAGTAGCTACCTTGTGTTTGGGTTTGATTAATTTGTATTGATGAAGACTTTACACCTAGGTGAGGTGTAATTGTCAATAAGGGTCTGATGATGAAGTAGTATGATAGTTGAGGGATCTCCTTAACGGTTAACAGTAGCTATCTCGTGTTTGGGTTTGATTAATTTGTATTGATGAGAACTTTACACCTAGGTGGGGTGTAATTGCCAATAAGGGTCTGATGATGAAGTAGTACGATAGTTGAGGGAACTCCTCAACGGTTATCAGTAGCTATATTGTGTTTGGGTTTAATAATTTGTATTCATGAGGTCGTTACACCTAGATGGGGGTTTTTTTAAACGCAGTTTTTTAATTTTATCAAAAAATTAAATTGGTTCACTTCATTAATTTATTTATTCTACACTAAATTCTGCTAGCGGCTTTGCCCGCGTTACTATGGCATAAAAAGTAGCCTCTGTGTTCTGGATAACATATCGAACCCATTAGATTGTGTAACAAACAAACACAAACTTTCACAATTAATATCAGTAGGATCTGTATGAAGAAATACAAAACCATCAGACTATTTCAGGCCACATCATTGATTTGCAGAATGTAAACCATTGTACCGGCCAAACTTGGTATACTTAAATTATCCGAAATGGCTTTTATCTGTATTCACTAAATACCCATTTTACACAAGGAAAAAGCAATCGCTCTTTTAGTATACGCACTTTCTTTAATCTTTTACCTGTTACCTTAATAAATCCAATTAAAAAATAATAAAGCCTACTAAAGATTTTTTCCTTTTTTCAGGTGAAAGGAGCCGTCGACGGGCATAAGGTATGCGTACATTTAATGTTCATACTATTACTGGTACATTATGTTAATACATTCCTCTATTTTTAAATATCGAATACGTAGAACAAAATTTGTTTAAAGAGGTCCTATTATATTGCTGAAATAATTTGAAGTTAAAATTCTGGCACAAGGTCTGGCTACCAATTTAATGTTTGGCGACGACAGAATAATAAAAAATAACAACAGTTTCTGGAAATAGATAGAACAAGCAGATTTGATTTAAGCAATACACAATGTATGTATGTATATACGTTTGTATTAAGTAAATGATCAGGCCTTCTCTTTTTCAAAATCATTTCGTAAGACCGCCAGACGAGATCAGTATAATAACAATAATTTTGAAAACGTCGACAACGGCTTTATGACTCGGCGAGTGTTGTTAGTATCTATAGGTGACGCTGGGTGAGGTCATCTATCTGCTCATTTGCCCCGCATCCAACAAAAAAAACCAGATCATTATCTAAAAACGAGCAAATCCGTGGCCAAAGAGCTACTAGCTAGCGACCCAAATAACAATATCCAAAAATGTCCCAACATTGACCTTGAGTCCCAATTTATTCATGACCTTTTTAAAAAAAGTCAAGCCGTAAGCCGTCGAAACACAGCCCTATTAAATTTGTATCCCCAACGTTGCATTTTTAACCGAGAACTAGAGGTGACCCTTGACAACTCGTTTCCACACTCTTTGAGAATGATGAGCCTTTTTTTGCTACGTTAAAACGCTTTGATGAGCCGGTTTTTGCTGGATCTACATAGTTTAAACTTATAATAAAATGCTTAACTTATGAAAACTGGTGTGTGTTTCGTGATTGTTTTGTTGAAAGTACATTTATAGATTGTTTAAACTGTCAAACACCAAGCGGTCACCGGTGACCGCAACCTATTGTTCTAGAGGTATAATTGTGTCTATAAATACGGTACTCGACGAGTTAACTACTTAAATTATTATGTTTTCGGCTTACCCACGTGTCTGTTTGACGAGGAACTTGACTAGTTTCAAGCCATGCGGGTAGCACCGCGACTGTCGCCGCGTCGGGGGTCGCGTAATGCTGCTCATGAATATGAGCCTCTAGTATGGCTCGAAACTAGTCGAGTGATTAAACCGAAAAACAATAATTAATTTAGTATATCTCACGAGAGCATAAATAACATATCACGCCTTTTATCCTCGAAGGGGTAGGCAGAGGTGCACATTATGCCACTGTATAATGTAACACTTTTCACTATGTATGTTACGAGTTCCATGTAATTAGGGGGTGAGCTTATTTCTATATACCGGGCACAATTCCAGACTCCGTTCTACTACTGAGATTTTTTTTTAAACCCAGTAATACTTTGCCCGTGCTGGTAATCGAACCCGAGACCCCTTGCCCGACGCCTCACGAGAGTTTTAATAAACATTGTTTAAGTAATTTTAAAGTTTATAATGTTACAGTTGCTTCCCCCTAGTAGACCAAAAATATCTAATATACCAGCGCCACATCGTACATTTTCTTAAAAAATAAACTATCATTCATATTTCGTTTAATTATAATTCGTTATAAGATGGTATGATCTTAGGAACATATTATTTTCTTTCTTCATATTAAAGAATCATTTTAAATACATAAGTCAATTGTTATACTTACTTAACAATCAGTAATCCAAGACACAATTTTCGTATACTAATTAACTTAGGTTATTCGACAACGGATAACCAACAAACCACACGCTAATCCTTATTTACTCAATTTAACTAATTCCCTCTTAAACATCATATACAAATAGATGCTAATTTATGTCAAGAACACAAAACTTCATTAATCATGTTTCTTAATAACCAGTAATTAACGTGGTTCACACCAAGCTGTACAAAACCAGTATAAGCTGACCGTTGAATGTACGGAAAGATCATATAAAGAAAGACCATGATAAACTGGATTGTATAGGTTGACGTGAAAGTAACAACCCATTAATTTGTAATCAATCTGACATACCTACCTTCTATTACGGCATTAATTGATCTCGAAAAGTTTAATTTCAGTTTAAGCAGTTCAGGCGAATTAACAAAGACTGAAAATTTTGGAGATTACTTTAGATTTTGTGAAGAAAGTTATTTCAAGGAAGACTTCGAAATAAAAGAAAACAGTTCAAGGTTGACCTTGATGGGAAAACATTTTAGCTATATTTTTATTTTATTAATAGTTATTACATTCCTAATCGTCTTAGATTAGTAAATACAATAGTGGCGACGCGTCGTATGTCGCGGAATACTGCTAATGAATAACAGCCTCTACCTCTAGAATAGCTTGAAACTTGTCGAGTTCCTTGTCAGTAAGTAAGCCAGAAAACAAGTCGCGGAGAACCTAACGGGTAACCGGGGCTCCGGCTTAACGTGCAGGAGAAGGAACGGGGTGGTTTTTAGCCAGTAAGAGTCTGACACTCCCTCCCGCCTCACCCAGGCGGGAGCAGTCATTCGATGATGTTCCCCTCTTAAAAAAAAAGCGAGAAAACAAATAAAAAAAATTTCGGACTGTCGACTTTTATGCCGACCAAAATATCACTAATTATAAAAAAAATCATTAATTTATTCTTATTTGTGTACGAAACATGATTTGTTCTCAATTTCTCTCTAAAAACCGTTCCAATCCTAAACAACCACGTAGGTACAATACCTCTAATGTGAAAACTACGGTCGCCGTCGAACCACGAGAGACTGCAATTTATTTTCGTCTAGTGCATTATTGATCGAAAATGCTGGACTTCTAATGTGTGTTGGGTTAAAGTCAATTTGAAATCTGCAGTTTTAAAGTTAAAACTTTGAGAAAAACGGGGTTAAGTCATAGTATGAATAGTTGATAGATTTTTTTGATGAGAATTTCTTTTGCAATAGGTTATTTTTTTACGAATAAAACATGCTATTACAGTACAATTTATGCGTTAATATTAAGGGCGTATATATATATATTCTTAAAGTAATATTTTCTAGATAAATTAACTTCATGTAACTAAAAATGACGGTTGACTCACATGAGAAAAGCTCTACTAGTTTCGAGTCACAGAGGGACTCTTCCTCATGAGCAGCGTGTGTGGACGCGCGCAGTCCGTTGAGTAGTATATTTACCTGAGTAAACAGTTAGTTTTAGTTAACTGAATATGTCTCACGATAGTTTTTATTAAAACATAAATAAGACAACAAAAATTCTCTCACCTAACAAATATTTTATCTATAACATAACTAGCTCAATGTCCCTGGCCTACCCACCCATTAAAAAGACTCCCTAACATATAACTTAGGCTCAATTTACACTGCCACAGAATGGAATGGAAGTGATTTTTCTAACGAACCTGTACATAGCAATATGAGCTTTATATCAATTGTATAACACGCAAATTAAATACCAGGAAATTCTCGAAAAAACGAGAGGAGTCCGCAAAAGACGCGCGTCCAATTTTTGGGTCGTATTTAATTTTTGTGTTATAAAGTTCCATTCCATTTCGCGGCGGTGTGAATAGACCCTTACTAACCGGTAACAGGAACGAATGACCTGTCTTGATGATGAACAGTTTCCCCGTGGACTTGCCCTACATATAGCTGGATTAGTCCACTACAGTGATTTATATGTCTAGTCTGGACTTGGATTAAGGTAATATGTGAGACTAGTGTTACTCAGTTTATTGTTACTTATTATCACCTCGGTATGATATTAGAGACTTGGATTTTTAAGGGTGTTGCTGTTTGATTTATTTCTCACGTGTTTTCATATTAGAGTGTTTTTTTTCACGGTGGAAAATCATCCAATTACTTCTCCTGCCTTGGGTTAGAAGAGAGGGATTGTCAAACTCTTACTGACTAAAACCACCCTTTCCTACTCCTGCTCTACGAGCCGGAGCTCCGGCAACCCGTTAGGCCTTCCGCAGCTCCGTATCGGCATCAGCCCTATTGGGCCCCATCCGTGGTGGTCTGATGGCTCTTTGAGGCGCGCGCAGACCGCAACGCGCCATACACATTTATATTAGAGTTGCATAGTTGACATGGATCCGTTTTTAAACATAACCAAATTAGCAGAGAACATAATAATAACATAATAACATTTTATTGTTATATGTATGTGCGTCCGTGAGTCACTTAAGGGGCTACTAGAATTTAGAATACCAGCGTAAGGTCCTATCTTGCACATACTGAACTGGTCCCATTTCACCGCAGACTTGGAACATGAATTATCAACATGTATCCTTACTGTACCCACTAATAAACTAACACTATAATCTGTAAATGTCACTTGTTTTTTAGCGTGTGAATAAACATTTTTTTCTTTTCTTCCTTTTTTTTCGTGTTAATTTAACGTTACGCCTTTTACTTCTCGAAGAGATAAGAAGATACCTGTTATGTTATGAGGTTCTATAGAGGGTGAGATTATTACTATTACTCTTAGCAACAATCATGGTGCAATTATTGATTATTCTAAAACAAAAAGTTTATAGATAAATGTGTGAAAAAAAAACGAATGTAACAGTTAATGAATTTTACAAATATGAATAAAATTATTTTTTCGACTGCTTCGTTGGCCGAGTGGTCGCAAGTGCGATTGCCGGGCAAGGGGTCTCGGGTTCGATTCCCGGGTCGGGCAAAGTATTACTGGGTTTTTACAAAATTCTCAGTGGTAGCACGGAGTTTGGAATTGTGCCCGGTATATGGCAATAGGCTCACCCTCTATTACATGGGATTCATAACATACATAGTGAAAAGTGGGTGTTACATTGTACAGTGGCATAATGTGCACCTCTGCCTACCCCTTCGGGGATAAAAGGCGTGATGTTATGTTATGTTAATAAAATTATTTTTTATTGTATTACATTTTCACGCCTAAGCCAAATTAATTTTTGCTCGGAGATGGATAGGTCCCTAGAGAGTTTTGCGATACTTTTTGCGCTACTTAATTGTTACTTTGTTCACAATAGAATCGTGAAATTAACCTTGTCTTAGACATAAAATTCATACA